TTTGGGGTTTAGGGGTTTAGAGTTTTGGTTTTAGGGTTTAGGGGTTTAGGGCTTGGGGCAGGTTATCCCTGGACTCGCAATTACTGGAAGATCTGGAAACTCTGGGCGGCCAAAGCGGCGAAAAGCCGACCTTGGACTTGGCAGCTACTTGGAGTTTCGGGCTTCGAGCTTGCAGGGTTTAGGTTTTAGGGCGTAGGGTTCGGGTTTGTAGGGCTTGGGGTTCGGGCTTAGGGTTGAATAGGGTTTTTTTGCGCCAAGGTGCCTAGTCACTCCTGGCACTTTGTTTAGGAGTTTCGGGTTAGTGTTTTCACAGGTTGAGTCTGGAGCTTGATGGGCGGGCAATAGGCGGGCTGCGGCAGTTTGGGGTATGAGGTAGATCTAGTGCTGGGTCTGGCGTGAGTGTGGGATAATATGCATCTCATCTGACATGGGGCCAACGGCAAGCTGAAGCGAATGAACCCTAAAGCAAAAGACCCCTCAACGCTAAACCCTAGTCTCAAAAACCCGAAGCTGCCACAAAGAAGTTTGCTGGCAGACTGTCAAGGCTGTGTACCTGCCAGAGCGGCTTTATGAAGCCTTGGACCACGGAAAGCTGCTTGACACTTGAAGCAAACAGTGCAAGGCAGAGGCGAGTGGCTTTTGTGAGGGACCTGAACCTACTATGGGGGCCTAAATAATTGCCTATATATTATTTTGGGGGTTCCTCATCATTATAAATATAGTATCATGGGCACGCCACAAAACCCTATTCGAATTATTAGGGCCACTATATTAGTCAGCCCATGTCAGCAGCCTGAAACAGCTGTCGTAGCGGCAGGAATCACCGAATCCCCATGACTAGGGCTAGAAGCACAAAGCCAGTTGCCAATGGTATCAGCTGGAAATGTGCTGTTCTGACACCTCGCTCGGCTTGCCCCCTGTGAGAAGCGAAACCAATTATTCACCGGGAGTATTATAGGAAGCATTAGCGTATTATATAGTATATTTTACCATAGAAAAGTATATCATAGCCATAACCCCAAAGCCTCAACCCGGTCAGCTGGGCGGGTGGGGGAAAGCACCGAGGACAAAAGGGCGGCCCTAGTGGCATTGCCCTCAATAGCTGGCCCTGATGACCGTCGCTCGCTACTCAGCTCGGGGCCGGCAGGGTTGCCATCCTTGATGAAGCAGTATCGTGGTGTCCGCCGCTGTTGGCTATTTTCCAGGTTACCCGATACCCCCGAATCAGGAAAATCTACTTGAACTCGTGATATGGAGCCCTGATGATTCAAGGTATATCCCTTAATTAGCGGGAGTCGGGCTCCCTTCGTCTCTCTGCAGTTTGAGAGGCAAAGGCCAGCCCAGCGTCGCTCCAACGAGTGCCCGAACCTTGTGCTCTAGAATTCGAGACCCCGCCCGCGAACCCCCAGGCGCTAAACCCTGAGCCGTAAACCCTCAGCCATTCTTCCTTCAACCCTCGGCCCAAGCCCAAAATCCCTCAACCCCAAACCCTAAACTAAACCCGAGTTCGGTGGGAGGCTAAAAAGCAAAAAGAAAACAAGACAAGACCAAACAAACCCCAAACCCGAATCCTAAACCGTAATAGTGTAAACGAATACGAATCCTGAAAAGTCTTGTCGCGCCCCCTTTGGGCTCGAAGACTTTTATCCTCGGCCAGCTGAGCCTTTGGGAGCTGCTGGGTGGCATTTGGGGATACCAGAGAGCCCGATACTCCTTTGTTTTGGAGTAAGACTCTACATACACATATAAGACTCATATACATAGAATAATCATGGATATTGAGCCTGTCGTAATTTAAGTTGGATTCCTTCGTGGGGGGTGTTGGGTGCTTTGGGCTGCTGTTTTTGTTGCCCGCGCGGCCTGATAGAGGTATCTATGTCAGGGCCCTAAATAAGTACTAACACTATTTTGGGGGGTTCCTTATTTTTTTATGGTATATTGTCTCCCAAAACCCTATTCTAAACATGAAGGCCCCTATCTTATGTGGTGGGGGCCCTTGACCTTCAAGCCCTGAACACTCAACCCTAATCCCGGCACTTCCGAGGCCAAAAAAGCCCTTCAGCCTACAAGTTGACAACTCTGTAAGCCCCATTATAGAATCCCCCATAAAAAGCCTGTAGAAGCCGACAGAGCCTTCCCGTAAACTTCCTAGACCCTTACCCCATACACCCTAGAACCCTAAACCTGAAACCCTAAACCCTAAAACCCTAAAGCCCTACACCCTAAACCCTAAAAAGCTGAAACTCCAGCCCAGGCCATGGCTTTCGTGTCTTTGGTCCAACCGGAGCCCGGGATTCCGCAGCAGATCGCAGCCCAGGCGGTCTTTGGTTCTTCCTGGAGGGATTTAACGGTTTAGGGGTTAAGGGTTTTAAGGGTTAGGGATTATAGGGGTTTAGACATTCAGCTCAGAGCTTTAAGGCTTGAGGGCTTTCTGCATCTATGGCCGGAGTTTGGGGATTTACGTCGGTGTTTTTGGGGGTTGAGTGTTCAGGGGCATGACCCTAGGGGGACAGATTCAGAGAGACAGAGAGGATGGGAGAAATATCTACATGTTGGTATCGACATGTGATAGCACTTAACATGCATACGGGCCAAGGAGAGGAATCACAAGAACAGTGCTACAGGGCATAGCCAGACTAACTAGTCATGTCTGATATGCGGCTCGCAGCAGCCGTATCACTATGAGCTTTCATACAACCCTGAACCCCAAGCCCTAATGACCTGCCCTGCCTGAGAGGCTCGAAGTGCCAGGCCGACGAATGTGCCGGCTGAGCGCGCGAAGTCACACCTCCCATGCGAAAGCATTCCGGACAGCAACCGGCTCTTAGTGATAGTGGAAGTGGCTCCCAGCTCCTCGAAAATTGGGGAGTTGGATGTGCTTTGTTTGTAGTGGGGCCGTCTTGGTATGCTATGTGGGACAGATCCTCTGAGTTGCAACCGGCTCAGTGGCTGCAGTGCTCCACGAAGCATTGGGAGCCTTAGCCCAGGTGCCACCGCCCTCGTAGGCATGGGAGCCCTGGCTGCGGCCAGAAAGAGCAGACGATGCAAAGCACCTTCGGCTGCAACCCCCCACGCCCGATTACTTAAATCCAGCATACATAGCTATGCCAGGTGTTCCTCGCTCTGAACTATGAAGGTCATTTGTTAACACCTACCTGGTACATATGATGGAGGTTGTGAAACCAGCTACCCAATACAGCCCAATTTCCCTGCGGTGCGACGTGGTCAGCTTGGCGGGTGGGCAAACTGTGACCTGCAGCCGCGTGTATAGATCTACGCCCAGATACGTGAGACAGCCTACCTACAGATTTGACAAGTTTAAGTTTAAGGGTTTAGGGGGTTTAGGGTTTAGGGGTTTAGGCAAATTGAATTTGCTCCGCAAGTTCCGACTCATGTCGAACATTCGACGCCGGTGCCACTCAGAGCCTTACCCGGTTCGTTCTCTGGCTTCCTCGCGATTATTTTCATCCTTATGGTGCCTCCTTTCGATTGCTAAGGAGTGCATGTCTATCGCACAGGCATGCATGGGCCATGCATCGTGTTGTTATTCGCCTGTTATGCCTCTGCTGGGATTCGCATCCATTTCTTGCGGGGTAGTGGTTACACAAGGGTTCAGAAAGCTCAGCAAAACTGAAGAACCCTAAACCCTGAACCCTAATTAAACCTTAACCCTGTCCTGCACTCCGAGGTTGCTAGAGGTTCGGTCGCTGCCGCGAGACCCACAGTGGACGACTGGATGGTCAAGCCGCTGGAGAGCCAGGCAGCTGACCAAATAAGTTCCCAGTGATTCCAACATCCCTTTATGGATTGTCCCTTGTTGAGGTGTTAAGGATATCCTAGTGTGTGGGTTTCTCCTGAATAAAAACAGGGTGTCGGAGTCTTTGGCAAAACGAGCACCGGCATGCCAGTGTTGCTCTCTTGGCCTGGGCAGCGGAACGCCTGAGTCTGTGCTGTTTTGAAGATCCTAGCCCCTAAACCCTAATTTGACCCTAGACCCTAAACCCCTAAACCCTAAACCCTCTAGGCAAGTCCGAGAGTGAGCGCTGAAAACCTAATTTTTGACTCTAAACCCTATAGATCCCACAGTTAGGACCCTTGTTGGGGGCCCCTTTTTTGAGGACTTGATCGCGCAGAGTCGGCCGGCCCATTGGGTACTTCGCACCACGGATGTCAAGGCCAACCTCAGGTTCTTCACGAAGATCTTCGGCATGAAGGTGGGGCCTTTTTAGGGTTTAGGGTTTAGGGAAGGTAGGGCTCTTAAAGGGGACCCTACTATAGAGCCCTAGATGACCCTTAACTTAAAAGGGGACCCTTGCAGAACCCCATACTACCCTTAAAACCCGGCTCGGGATTTAGGGTTTAGGGGCCCTCTTCATGAAGGTACTGAGACATGAGGAGTTCGAGAAGCCATGTGCAATCACGTGCAACGGCGAGTTTGAGACGCCTTGGTCCAAGACAATGATTGGCTACGGACCCGAAGACGAAGGTTATTGCATCTTGGCCTGGGTGGGGCGCGCAACCCTTCCTTTGAGTACTAGCCGTCAGAAAGAACCGTGTATATATGTATGTATGTATGTATGTATGTATGTATATATATATATATGTAGCGCTGCAACTATTCATATGGTGAAGATAGTTATGTCAGTATATAAAACCTATTTAGTCAAACAATTATACAGATAGATAGATAGATAGAAAGAAATAAAGAGAGAGAGAGAGAGAGACGGTACCGAAAGTCATGTCATGTCCGTGCAACAGAAGCGACGGCAAACAGGATTGATTCTTGCATGTGCCAGCATCCCAACACTTGAGCAACAAGGCCCGGGTATGACCCTTTGGCTATGGTGTTTCTGATTGCAAGGAGTGCTTTCAAACATGAAACCCTAAACCACCCTCTCTTTCTGTTGAAACCCTCCAAGGCTTAGAGTTGACCTACAACTATGGAGTTTCGGACTACGAGCCTGGGACCGGTCTGACACACATCGCTGTTGCAGTGGCAGATCCTGAGGTGGGGAGCTGTGTGCTGCGCCCAACCTTGGAAACACCACCCCCCATAAAGGTCTTCGCTCAAAGCTTACTTAAAGGCTCCCTTTATACAGTATGAGACTTGAGTTTTGGAGCGGTACCTTAGATCCTGGGCATCCCACCCAACTTTCGGTTTCCTTCGTTTCCTTTGGGAACAGCCAGTGCTAGGAGCTTGCAGAGTGGATGCCCCCAAAACCTGCAGAATGTCTAAGGTTTAGGTTGTAGAAGCAGCTGCCTGTTGCATGCCGTGGCTGTAGTTTGCCGTTGTCTGTTGTTCAGGAGGCACTGAAAACAGCTGCCGACATGGGATACGCAGTGGATGCGGATATCATCACGGGTCCAGACGGCTACAACTTCCGAGTGCTGCCAAAGGAGGACACCAGAAAGCTTCGTTGCAGTCTTCCGTCAGCCGTCCCTTCCAGCTCCAATGCACGTCTCCTCCAAACGTCAAGCATGTGGCCCTGCACAGGATGAAGATGATGACCCGTTTCGGAGCCTTATTTGCAGAGCCACATAGAAACCATTGCAAAACCTCCCAAACGTCCGATTGGAACCCTGTAGAAGCTGGAGCCCTTGAGCTTCACTCTCAAAACCCAGGTGGTCAAATTCGGTTTGACTTTTGAGAACCTTCTACCGTCCGGTTCGCACGGCCTGCGGTTGAAAGATATAGGGATCAGGGCCATGCAGCGGGCTAGGGTGCAGTCCTGGTACCCTATAAACGCCGGAAGACTCGCGACACAACCGCTGTTGCGGGGAAGGCCCTAAACCCTAAATGCCCTAGTCGTGAGTGCTGCAAGTGCAAGACGACTTGGGTAGTCAACACCGCAGCTCATACATGTGTGTGACTATGTATACACAAGGTATGTATATATATATATACACATATGCTCACATTCATCTTCTGTCTATGCATGCATGCACTGTCCTTCGGAGTTGTGAGACTCAGCAGCCCTTACGCAGCCCCTCGATGCTTTACCGCTGCTAGCTGTCGCGACTATTGTGATTCATGGCACTGTGCTGGCAGCGGTTCTGTGATGCTAAGAGTATGGCGGACATCAGCGTCACTGCCACGATCGTCATGTCACTTTCTTCTCCCGTGTCCTCGCACGGTAAGGTACATCGCCATGAAGGTGGGAGACCTTGACAAGGCTGCAAGGCCGGGGGCCGGGGATGCCTCCTTAGGTCCTTGGAATCTAGGCACCTAATCACCTAATCCGTGCTGTTGAGCCTGAGGACTCTGGCTGTTATTGCTCTGATCAGCCGCCACGGCTAGAGACGTGCTACCCAGTTACCAGTAGCCATGTAGTTGCAGCTGTCCTCCCAGTAGTAGTCGGAGCAGGGCAAGGAGGTAGGAGCAGCAGTTGCACCACCAGTAGCAGTGGTAGTGGTAGTGGTAGTGGTGGTGGTGGTGGTGGTGGTGGTGGAGGTGGTAGTAGTAGTAGTAGTAGTAGTAGTTGTTGTTGTTGTTGCTGTTGTTGTTGTAGGTGTAGTTGTAGTTGTAGTTGTAGTTGTAGTTGTAGTAGTAGTAGTAGTAGTAGTCGTAGTAGTAGTAGTAGTAGTAGTAGTAGTAGTAGTAAGTTGTTGTTGTTGTTGTTGCTGCTGTTGCTGCTGTTGCTGTTGCTGTTGCTGTTGCTGTTGCTGTTGCTGTTGCTGTTGCTGTTGTTGTTGTTGTTGTTGTACAGCGACAGCGCCGATTAAGAAACTGTTATTTTTTCGTAAGGGGGGCTCGATTTCATAATGTTGAAGCGCGTTTTTAGGGAGAAAAACGTTTTGGGATTTGAGGGTATTTTGGATTTCTTAACCCAATCTTTTGAGTTTGAAAGGGCTCCAAAAGCAGCCGCAAAGAATCCCAAGAAATCAGGGTGGCTCAACAGTTGGCCAATTTGGCCAAAGGCTGCGGGCTCGCATCCCGCGGGTGTCTTTCCATGCGCCCAGCCTTTGCAATACTGAATCTAGTCCTCTAGTTTTATGGTTCTCTTTTTTGCGTGAACAAAACCAGCGAAGACAAACTGAGAAGAGCAAAATAATAAATTGGCACGCTCTTAAGCAGTGCTGTCGTAGTAGTAGTAGTAGTAGTAGTAGTAGTAGCAGCAGTAGCAGTAGCAGTAGCAGTAGCAGTAGCAGTAGCAGTAGCAGTAGCAGTAGCAGCAGCAGTAGCAGCACCAGGCGTGGCGGAAGTAGTTGAAGGTAGTGACAGAGGTAGAAGTACATTTATAGGAAGCAGCTTCAGCAGTAGCAGCAGTTGGCAGTGGTGGTTGCCGGCCTTACTTCTGCTACTGACATTCACCGTAAGGCTGTAATGTGCTGTCATGATTTAAGTGACAGGTGTAAATGCAGCTGATGGTAGTGGCACTAATTCTGCTCAGCGCAGATAGGTTCTACTGCGAAACCTGTGGCATGGACGAGACCGATGCGGTTCCGGACTGCCCGATGTTCAGCGAGGGCGCCAAGGCGCCTGTTGCTGTAGACAAGATTGGGCCAGGGTTTCGCAGATTGAAGAAGTTGCTGTTGCATGAAGGCTTGCCATAGCATGAAAGAGCCGGACTGTAAGTTGCCTTTCCAGATGTTTTGAGATTAAGGTTGTCCGATATCCTCAACAGCTGCCCCTGGTGCTTTTCCTGGACAAGGACTGCCACGTCACAGATAACAAGCGCACTCTGTGCGAAAATTGGAAAGAAGAAGGCGAGTGGTCGACAAGTCACGCCTCTGACGATAAGACTGCCTGCCTGATCAGCAAAATACTTCCAACCCAGTTCTAAACCAACTGTTCTTTGCTGAAGGCTCCTGAATTCTGCCTATGTTACTTCGCCAGCCCTTGGATGCTTTGTGCAGGATTCAGCGCCTCCGCAGATCACGCAGTGGGAAGGGCGGCACGCAATCGCAATCCCTGGGAAAGCCCTCCGGGCCATCTACAAGAGAATCATTGACAGCCACGGCACCTCGGCTCCGGATGCAATGTATGGTTCAGGACAGGATTTGAAGGGCTTCCCGCATTGGCGTCGAGTATTTGAGGCATGGTTCTTAATGCCGGGTGCCGGGTGCATGTATGAGAAGTGTAGGAGGGTGTAGCTCCAGGTGCCGACGGCAGCGTGCTCCACCACATCCGTGTACCCTGGCGCAACAGCAAGAATTTCGGATGTCCATCCCTGAAGCTAGCATCACCAAGCAGCCCTAGTGGCGACCACTTACGACGACGACAACAACAACAACTGCTGCTACCGCTACCACCACTACGACGACGACGATGCTACTACTATTACTACTACTGCCACTACTACTGCTACTTCTGCTGCTGCTGCTACTACTACTACGACGACGAAGACGCTGCTACGATTACTACTACTGCCACTACCACTGCTACTTCTGCGGCTGCTGCTACTACTACTACCACTACTACTACTTCTACTACTACTACTACTACTACTTCTTCTTCTTCTACTACTACGACGACTACTACTGCTACTACTACTACTACTACGACTACTACTACGACGACTACTACTACTACTACTACTACTACTACTAGTACTGTACCACTACTGGTAAATACTGCCAGCAGCTAACAACAGTACCAACAACAAGTTGTGTACTACTGCCAAAATCTTGACGGTCTTGCTATCTTTTCAAGCGGGGGGGAGCAAGATTGCCAAGCAATCCTGGTCATCTTGGCCCCGTGCTCTTTGCTCGTCGACTAGTTAACCTTTTGGAGACCAAGATTGCAAGATTGCTTGCCATGCTGCCCGACCCCTCCCCACTGCCACCCACCTTGCCCCGCTTGCTCGCCGACTACTTTACGTTTTGGAGACCAAGGTTGCAAGATTGCCTGGCAATCTTGGTCGCAATCTTGGTCCAAAAGGTAAACATAGTCGGTAAGACCAAGATTGCAAGACTGTTGGGCAATCTTGGCCAAATAGCAGTTCTAGGTTCCGGCACACTGTACTACTAATATTACTGCTACGACGACGACGACTACTACCACTACCACTAGCACTACCACTACCACTACCACTACCACTACCACTACCACTACCACTACCACTACTACTACTACTACTACCACCACTACTATATACTACCACTACGACCACGACGACGACGACGACT